ACTTCAATATTTGGCTCGACCTTCGGTCTCGCCCAATAGTGAAGTCTCGACTTAATATTTTGCCATATTGGATATACGGCGAGTAATTCAACCAATAAGATTGCAGAACAGCTCATATACGGTGAATGGCTATATTATAATGTATAATATGCGTATTGCGTATACACAATTATTTAGTATTTATCACAGTAATATACACCAGGCACATTATAAATATTATAAAGAGGTTTTATTGCCAGTAGTCTTTTTCCTTGATATATCCTAAATTTTGTTTTGGCATGGAATAGCATGAGATCCAGCTTGTATTTTTAAAATAAACACACGCTGCTGTGACATCAATATAACTATCGACATTTTAGAATTAAATATAGCATCAACTAATGCCGCATTAGAGACAAACAGTCTATCAATATATCAATGGAAACATTAATTAAAATGCTTATAAAATCTCATAAAGTAATGCCATGTCTGTACGAGATTTTGTACGAGACTTTTATGAATAATGTAAATATATATCCCTCATGACAAAATGTTTAGACACTTTATATCATGCACATATTATACTTTGCTAAACCTTATTTGCTATATTATTCACGGGGCAAAGTATAAAAGGCGGGTAGATTGCTATAGAATTATAGAAAACACTGCGCTATATTTCCTTCAAATGTTCAACAACATACTAGTTTGGTGCAAGGAAAAATGGAAAAGCATTAGCATACAGTTTTCTTATAATTCTGTACTGTAGATTCTCTAACAATTTTTGCATGTACCTTATACACTCCTTCTTACAGTACCCAGTGTTTAATATAAACAATCAATATTTTTTTATTAATAAAATCAGTACGTAGCATATAAACAGTCTATACTTGAAACAGGTTTAGAATGAATAAAATGGACATTCAATGTCCATTTGAATATTTGGCAATTTGGCTAGTGTCCAAATGTGTAACCTAAACATGCAGTCGTTCTCGAGACCTCTGTTGAAATTAACAAGAAAATCAATGCAAAGTTTATACCGTTTCCAGATAACAACAATTTAGTGACATATAAGATTATAAATATGTGAACCAAAGGGCAAAGGCCGAGCAGTCGAGCAGACAGATACGTGTGAAATGAAGTGCCTTTTATAAGTGCGCCCAAGCCCCGAGAGAACATATACGATCGTACGTTTTTATTGCTTGATTTCCTGACTTGTTGCTATAAAAATCTGTTTAGCATGTACTAGTTTTATAATTTACTGTAAGAACAAACAGAAATCAAATTTAGCAAGTATTTTGACGTGCGTACGTGTTGTCACCCCTTGCGATCGAAGTGTTAAGTGCGAAAGTGGAAGCATGTAATATGATACTTTTCCTTAGGCAATTAATTTTCTTTGAGCCACGTGACCAGCTCCGACCAGGGTCTTTCCTTCCCCGAAGAAAGAGCCTGGGAACGAGGTTGAGATCGTCTTTCAGTCAAAATGATCTCGACCTTTGTTTGCCAGGGCTGACTGGCGGAGTTTATTGGTGGTTTTAATATTATTGCACTCAGTTTGCAAATTATCATCAAATAGGTTGGCAGTGACTGACACCTACTATGAACATAGACCAGCAAACTCTTTATTAAGAGTTTGTTTGTTTGTTACCTCTGCGATGATAGAACAAATCAACAAAAGCATGACACGGAATTGCCATGATCTCTATATTGGATTTGATGAATTCGGTGGGGTCTACCTGATTGCCATTTTTCCGTGAGTGAAGGATCTTGTTGTTGGTATAAAATAAAGTGCTGCCTGCTTTTGCCAGGTTCTTCTGGACATTACTTGTTTGCAGATCCCTGCGCTTATTAAACATGTCAAGGTTTCACTAAATTTCTGAATTAACTCAATTAACAATCGGACCTGAGCAATTTTCAGGACGTTTAACTCCAGTTTGTCGAATAGCTTTTTATCTGTCATATTTGTAGCCTATCGCTTTCTTAAGCATGGCTGCCAAATCTTCATTCACTGCAGAACCCGTAGGTTCTTGTAAGTATGTAAGTATGTGCGGTGTGCTAATCATCCTTACTTGCAGCTGAGAGCTAAGCTGCATTACGAAGGACACAGCTCAACCTCATTGAGTCGAAGGCTTTCTAAGGGCGCCTATGGTGCACAGCTACGGTGAAAGGGTCAGGATAATCCCAACCCACCTTGTGAGCATTCCCTGTGGGAGGGAACCGGAATACCCGGAGAAAACAAACGACTTCGGTAGAGCGTTGACTGACTCTTTTCACATAAGTGTCGTGGGTCCGTAGCGAGAATCGGACCCACGATTCCAGAGGTGAAAGGCGCTGCTCTGACGATTGGACCACCGAATCCCCTCCCCCCAGGGTCGCCGAGAGGTTGGCGGGGGCCCGGGACAAATTTTTTTTGGGGCCCCTATCAAAATATTTTTTTCCGGACAACCTCCCTCCCCCTCCCCCCCTTCGCGAAAAAAATTTTGGTCATTGTACCATTTTAGGGGTAAAAAAAATTTTCCGGACTAAAAAATTTTTTCGGACAAGTACGTTTCTATCGCTTTCCACGGACATTATCTGATTTTTTATGCCAAATTTCGGTACTTAGCCCAAGAAAACAGATATCTTGTCTTTGGCCCGGAAATATTTAACACACAAAAAAGACTGGGGCCCAACAAAAAATTTTCAGGGGCCCCCAGCACCTCGGGGCCTGGGGCAATTTGCCCCCCCCGCCCCCCTCTCGGCGGCCCTGCCTCCCTCTTCCTTGTTCGGATAATACTTGGGCAATTTCTGACAGCAAGCTGTCCGTATTTACAGATACATGTATATTCTCTGCTGGTTTTTCGGCTGAGGCAACTGGGTTTGACAACACTTTATTCATTATTTAAAACCAATTTGTCCTCCAAAACATCCTCACTAAGCAAGCTTCCGCTTACGGCTGCCATGTTTTGGCGCCATTTTCGTGTTATAAACGACCTCGTTGTTGTCGCTGATGTTGTCGTTGCTCTGGCATTTCTCTACTAGGTCAAGGCGAGAATTAAAACTCCGCATATCGGTGTGCATCTCTTGCGGTAGAAGATACATATCCGCAGAGCTTGTCTCGTGTGTTTCACTGAGTAGTTCTCTCTCCAGATTTTTTCGACTTCGTCTTCGTGGGCCACGCTATCGCCAAACGAGACTTTCTGTTTTGGCACGATATCACCTGAAGTTCTTGTCTGAGGTTCAGATATCCTGTCACAATATGTAAGGAGTTTAATTTAATATTCAACACAGGAGGGTCTCCTGTGCGATAAGGAATCGCTAAGAACTGCTTTTGATATGCTAATTGCACTACAATTTGACGTGAAGCAAAGCTGACGTACACAGATGCGCTATCTCGTGTGACGCTGTCACGACGTCACCAGTGACGAAACGAAGTAGAGTTTGATTCATTAAGAAGTAATAATTTGACCCAAAATTTTCTATCTTGGTTTTAGGTTGTGCCTGTTCTCCTGTGATGGATTACAAAAGGAACAGACAGCCTCGTCAATCGGTAAAAAACTAGCCAAGTACTCAGATACCCAATGGTAGAACTGACCAAGAGAAAACGCGAATGAAAAGAGAATCTTCTTTTCAAATCCAAAGAGTTGAATATTTTCAAAAAGAGAATCAACCGTGCAAAGAGCAAGGTATGTTTCAACTCGCATTTAATATATAAAAGTGCTAAATATTACTCTCACAATAATAACAGTTTTGTTTATCATGCGTGTAATACGTTTTAGTTTCATCTTTACTCAAAATATTTATATTGACTTTGATTTATCCAGTATATGTGAGAATTTTCAGTCAGCAAAGTTAGATTAAAATCAAACTATATGTGCAGTGTGGCAGTTTAACCCTTTTTAAAAGCTTAAAAGCGGCAATGCACCCTACTATTGTTTAATACCTGACGATTTTAATCATCAAGGGATATTTCATATTAAAACATCATTCCATTTATTCGCTTTATCCTATATTTTTCGCTGTGGCCCCATATTTTTATATATTTTGCCATTTAATGCCACAAGCTTTTGCTCATCAAGGTTTTGAACATTAATGAGTTAACGCATCAGTCAAATCTAAGCGTGCCCATAACTCCCCCACCCCCCGTGCAAACCCCCGGGCTTTTGACAATTTTCGAAATTATGCGACAAATCCCGGGGAAGGAAATGAAAAACACGTGAAAATGCCCCACAGCGGGGCAAAAAATCAGTGGCAAATCCCCATCCCGGGGACAGCTAGACTATTGGCTATGAAGAGTAGGTTATCCAACTACCTGAAAATAAGGAGAATACTTTCTTGGGACGTTTCGAGCGAATGCCCTCTGATTAATTCAAAATAAAATAATATAGAATAAAATCAAAAGATATGTGCAGTGTGACAGTTTAATTAACCTTTTTAAAAGCGGCAATGCACCATTTTTTGTCAGTTTATTCTGTTTAATGCCAGACGATTTTAATCATCAAGCGATATTTCATATTAGACCATCTTCCTACCTTTTTTATTTCTCACCATCTCATGCCAGACGCTAAATTGCTCATCAAGGTGACATTATTGCATTATTGAACATTAATGAGTTAATGCATCAGTCAAATCCAAGCGTGCCCATCCCCGCAACCCGTCAAATCCCCCGGACTTTTGACAATTTTTGAAAATTTGTGAAAATGCCCCACAGCGTAAAAAATCAGCAGCAAACCCCCCACCCCCACTACAATTTGACTGGTTTATATTGAGTATTCTATCGTGGAAGATTCTTCTAGGAGAAGGCATGCCCCTAGTCCATAAGATGAGGAGTCTACGGATAGCACCACTGGTTTTGACACATCATAGTACTGCAGTAACTTCTCTGCCGTGACTCTACTCTTAAGCTTGATTTCTTCAAACGCTTTTTGGTGTATTTCTTCCCAATGTCGCGCAGCGTCCTTTTTCAACAGTTCTCTTAATGGAACAGTGACGCTTGAAAGGTTTGGTATGAATTTTGCCAGGTAATTTACCATCCCCATAAATCTCTACAGTTCTTTCTTGTCTTCAGGTGTATTGATCTCTTTAATGGCGTTAACTTTGTGTGGATCCGGTTTAACTCCATGACGGGTTAAGAGATGTCCAGTATACGATAGTTCACTCGTCTGAATCTTTGATTTCTCTTTGTTGAGCTTTTGCTCTTCAAGTGCTGTACCCCACACCAAGATGTCGTCCACAATAACAGCCACTCCCTCGATGTCTTCTAATGCTTGCGTCATTCGCCGTTGGAAGACCTCTGGAGCAGAATTAATACCAAATGGAAGTCTTAAAAACTTATATCTTCCCAATGGTGAGTTGAAAGTTACAAGTTTTGAACTTTCTGCATGTAATTTAACCTGCCAGAACCCTGACGATGCGTCAATTGTGCTAAACACCTTCGCTCCATTCAACTCTGCAGCAACTTCCTCGATTGTTCTCATGGGATAGTGGTCTCTAAGAACAGCTTTGTTTAGATCTCTTGGATCGAGGCACACTCGTACTTTCCCATTGTTCTTCTCAACCACGACTAACGAATTGAGCCATTCTGTCGGTTCAACAACCTTTTCAATTACCCCGAGATTTCCATTCGATCAAGTTCAGTTTTCAGTTTATCACGGAGCGCATACGGAACTTTCCTTGGCGCGTGGACAACTGGCGTAACGTTTGGATTCGTTTTGATGTGATATTCGCCTTCCAGGCACCCTAATCCCTGAAATACATCATCGTATTGTTTAATTATTTTTTCACTGGTCTGCTGTGTTGACAGTTTTGAAGTACAGTACCTGTCTCATCAGATGTATCGTTTACAGCGAATAGTCGTTTAATAAGATTAAGTTCAAGGCATGTCTGTAAACCGAGAACCGGAACAACATCACTCTTCTCGGCTATTTGTAATTCCACTGGATAGAACTTTCCTTTGTGTTCAAGCGGCACTGTGCTTTTCCCAATCACCTTGATGCTGTGCCCAGAGTATGAGACAAGTTTTGTCTTTGACTTGACAGGTTTCTCTTTAGTCATTCGCTTATATGTTTCATAGGGGATAACATTGCATTGAGCCCCAGTGTCAAGTTTCAACGCTATATCTCTTTTGCCCACTTTAACGACGACATTCCTGATTCCATCCATTCTTCGAATTCTTCTTTCTACAGTTACGATATACATTTCTTTCTCTGAATCTGAACTTTCTTCAACAACATGCGCAGGCTTTCCAGAAGAACGACATACCCTGGCGAAATGATTTCTTCCTTGGCATTCATGACACATCTGTCCGTTTGCAGGGCAGTTGCGCAATTCGTGATCTTCATAACCGATCGATATACCCTGCGCTGGGCCGCGCAGCAGTCTTGCCTTTACTTCAGCACTTTGAATTCCACACACTATCCCGTCTCTTACTTGGGAGTCTTGTAAGTCACCAAATTCGTACGATTTGCAAGTTTTTTCAACGCGGTAACGTTGTATATCGTTATATATCGTTGTATATCGTTGTATATAACGCGGTATCGATAGATTCATCAGACTCTTGACAACGAGTGTTGAATACATGCCTTTCAAAAGTTATATTCTGTTTAGGTGTACAATAACCACGAAATTTTGCAATAAGAGGTTCAATCTTGTCTTCTTCAGTCTCTGTGAATGTGAATGTGTTTAAAACTTCAACAGCATCCTCCCCGGCAACGGTTAATAGAATTGAACACTGAACTTTTTCATCTTTCTTGTCGCTTCTAGTTGCATTTAGATATACAGTAATCTGAATTGCTGTATCCCCCAACGCCAATTTTCTGCTAGATTTCCTTCAAACGACAACGGTTTTGGCGGTGGGAGTGAATTCGAAGTAGCCATGTTAGCTATATTCCTGACACCATGTTATGTTTGTAATCAAAATTTTTATTCGTCAGACCTATAACCTACAATCAGTTTTAAGAGGGAATCTCCACTATCACCGAGCAACAGGTGTCACATGATGAAAAATGAAATGTTTTCTTATTTTGTCCAGTGATACACTGATGTATACTTAGAAACGTGATGGGGTTTGTTTTCTGAAGTGTTATTTTAAACGCCGAAAAATTATCACAACCTGACACGTACCCAAGATTCGTGAAATCAGCCAAAAACATTGTGAGCCATAGCCTCTCGAAAACTTCGTTTAGGTAGTCCAAGAACCAAAAAAGTGGTACGGGTACCAATTTTATCCGTGCCGTACCAAAAATTGAGCGTAGTGTAAACGGGGCTTAAATATGCCTTTGCCCATATAGTACTACTAAATTGTAAATTTCGACATACTAAAACGCTGTTTTCTGACCATCAGAATTCTGACAAATCTTCCTCAAATCCAGGAAATGGCATTTCAGAGACTCTAAATTTAAACATTTCCTCCGGCCTTTAATTGGCCCTCGCTTCCACTACATAACTTCTAGCGCATTCTAATTTGGTTTAAAAAATATTTAAAGTTATCTAACTTTTGTTTAGGGATGAAACACGTATTTCAATTTCTCGATCAAAATACGTCACACTTCATTGAATCCCGGGTAAGCGGGACCATTTATAAACAGCCTCTTATAATCAAATTTCTCTTGAGAAAATTTTGTATCATCGCCTCTAATCATCGCCCATGTTTGTATATTTTAAATTCCA